TCTCTCTCTCCCTCCCTCTCTCCCTAAAATCAATGAACCTATCTTTGGGTAAGAATGAAAGGGGAAAAAATCAAATTTTTTAAAATGTGAGGAAAAAATAGAAAAATAATTATACTAAATTTTGAAACATGGTGGCTACCTTGATTCATTACTCTTTGTGATAAAGCTCTAATTTTATTATTCACTTTTTGATTAATCAAATCTTGTCATTTTTTTGCTCCGTTGGTTTGTAATGTGGCCTTTGGGATATAGATTCATTCCTCTTATATTTTCTGGTCCATGTTCTTTTTCACTGGTCAACATACAAAATACAGGTATTTGGTATTCACAATTAACCAGAGAATCAGGGTAATATTTAAGCATTAAAAAAATATGTAAATATCATTCCCTACTTAACATCTCATTACTGTTTAAAATCCAAAATTATTCATATTACTGCTGAGATTTACTTTAAAAATTATTACGTAAGTAGTACATAAATACATTCTTGTATTTAAAAATTTCAAACAATATAAAACTGTAGAGTAAAAAAATCCCATTTCTTTTAGCCCAGTTCTTTCTTTGAAAGGTTATCTTTCTCTCTGTTAATAGATGTGTGATTCTTCCAGATCTTTTCATATATATAAATATGTATACATGCACATGGTTATATATATTACATATACACATATATACATCATACAGAACTATTTGTTTGCATTAATGTCTTAAAACTATACATATTTTCTGCTTTATTTAACTAACAATATGTGTTGGAGACTTTTCCAAGTTAATACATAGAGATCTTCCCCCTTTTTATAGTTGCACAGTATTCATAAGTATGGACATGTCATAATTTATTAATTCTTTATTATTGGACATATTGTTTCTATATTTTGCTGTCACAATTACAAAATGAATATCCTTATACATTTATTTGCGTACATGTGCAATTATTTTTGTTAGATTTTTAGAAGTGGAATTGCTATGGTATATACATATTTTGCATTGACTGTTTCTGGAAGGGGATGCCAGAAACTGCTAATAGTGATTGTCTATGGGGAGGGAACAGGAGGACTGAGGGGGTTGGTTTTAGGAATGAATAGGAGATTTTATTCCAATATACCCTTTTATATTGTGTAATTTTGTTTTCACAATATGCATGTAGTTCATATATATATAACTTCATAAAAAATAGAGTATGCACATTAAAATTTTGACACAGCCAACCCCTGTCCTCAAAAATGTTAATTTACACTATAANTATTGTTATTTCAGTGGGGTTTTGGAGTAACAGAAAGTGAAAATGTGTGCTCAGTCTACCATACACAAACACACACACACGACTTGTTTGTTTATATACATGTCTTCTCTACTGAAGCTCCTTAAGGGCAAGGATGTATTGTAAAATGCTAGCACAGTGCCAGGAATATAGTCAGATTTAATGGCATGTGGTTCTTTGGATTTGGATATAAGAGAAAAGAAGTTATAAATGACAAAAAAGCTTAAGCTTAGATAAGTATGCTGACAGAAATCATCAAAAGAATAGATTTTTAAGAAAAATGTATTTTAGTGTTGAAAATCAATAGTTACTCCCAGAATAGGTCTTATGGCTTTGATAGAAGCAGTAGAGAAATAATGGAAGCTACTTTGCAAGACTTGATTAACTGATACAAAGGTGTCTTTTGTGCTAGAAAGAGAGCTACACCACTTCACACAGAATCATCCAGCAGACAGAGTGCTGCTGCTATCAGAGAGAAAAGAGTGAAGTTGTTTTAGCTCTTGGCTCTCGCCTAAGCAGGTAAATCAACTTGGAATATTCCTTATTGGATAAGAAGACCAGCTCTACCCATATTAGAGCATGATAAGGAACTACTACATTAACCACGATATGGTGCATTAGTAGGTACTCAACATTTAATAAGTGAATGTATCCCTAACAACTGTTCACAAACCTGATTCCAAAGTCAAGAAATAAAGTTTTTACAGGTGAAAGCCAAATGAGCTGATTAGTAATATTTTCATTGATAGTAGCTATTATCGAAGTGCCTGGCCCAATCAGGAACTCCGTAAATGTTTGAGGCGAATGACATGTTAATGTTAACTTTGAAACTTTAAAAAAAGTCTGCTTTTAAAGCAAAAGGTGGTATACAACTCTGTAAATATACTAAAAACTACTGAAATGTACATTTTAAACAGGTGAACCTTTTGATATCTAAATTATATCTCAATAAAGCTGCAAAACAAACAAAAAACAACTCACGAGAAAACTTTTCCAGGCATTCTGAATGACTCTGGCAGCTTTATCCCTCCTTACAAATTCCACTTCTGGTACCCAAGACATTTAAAGTCCTAAAAGAAAATAAGCAAAATGGCTATACTTAAAATTACTTTATATACTCCATTATGAAATTGTCACTAGAAGTCAATGAAAATTAAATAGAAAGTTGTGTGAATTAAGAAAATAATGTATAAATGATGTCACGCATTAAAATTACAGTAGCAATGTGATTCTGAGATACTTTATCATAGTCCAAACTAAGTGAGTAAATTTTGCTTAAAAGTTTAAAATTCTGAACTGTTATTTGTGAAATGCTATTTTGAGATATACTCTTTCTAGCCAGCAGGTGGAGAAGGAACAAAATGTAGTTTGTGTATTTAAAGAGGTTTCAGGAAAAAAAAGTTTTCTTTGTGAATAGTGTGATAATCAGTTTTAATAATTTTTGAGGAAGTGTCACTGTTTCTATCATTAAAAGAGATAAATACAGAAGGTAACTTTGCCATCTTAGACTTATCATAACTTTAAAAATAATATCAAAATTTTAATTTTAAAATGTGCAGAAATACCCTGGACAGGTGGCTTAGTTGGTTGGAGTGCTGTCCAGCACACCAAAAGGTTTCGGGCTCAATTCCCAGTCAGGGCACATACCTAGGTTGCAGGTTGGATCCCTGGTCAGTGCAAGCACAAGAGGCAACTGATCGATAT